TTCATATTATCTCACAAGGAAAACATATCCCGAGACTCTGAACTTTCAAAAAGGGGGAAGAGCAGGTGTGTGCTTAATAAATGTTGCTAAATAACCCTGGATATCATGAGAAACTAAAACATTGTCCTGGTGACCAAATGCCTTGAAGTCAGCTTCTGAGCCTCAGGGACTCTGTAATTTCTTTCAAACTGAAGGAATATTATTGCTCAAGACCTTCAAAGGCACTTGCAAAGGGGAACAGACCAAAAACAGGTAGAGAGAACAAGCAAGGTGTGATTGGACAACAGTTGTGCAATGGCCTATTTGACCCTTTGGTTTTAAATAAGGCAAATTGACTCTATTAACTCTTGCTGAAGATAATTTTCTTCTAATGTTTCCCAGGGACTCTGAAATGCTACTCTCTGTGTGTACCAATGGGAACAGATGTCCCTTAGCAAGAAACACGCTTTCTGATCCTCTGTAAACCACCCCCACCCCACCCCACCCCGGCCACCGAGATTAGCAAAAGCTTTGAGGTTTTCAAATTTATATTCAGGGCTGGCATGTCCTCCTTATCCCCAGTCTGCAATGAAAGTGAAAGAGGCAGTGTGAGTAGACAGGTCCCAGGGTGTGTGTGTGGGGGGGGGGGGGGGAGGCAGAGAGTTCCATGGCTTCCTAGGCAGAGGGACACTTCAGGTTGAGCCATTGGCTCTGGCTGTGTGAGGGCCTCTCTCAGCCATTTCTGACAGTAGCTTCTCCTCCTGTCTTGGGTAGCAAGCATGCTCCCCTAGGGCTCCACTCCACCCACTTAAATAATACCTCCCTTGCCAGGGAATGAAATCAAACTTCCTCCTTGCCTGGTATTTATTTGGATTTTTCACAGCACTCATTAAAGTGTTTTCCTAAGGCAATCTGCAGTGAAGATCCATCCTGCCCCCTAACAGCAACTCCAGTGTGAACTCCCAACAGCTCAGAATTGTAGACTTCGAGAAGCGACCCTGTTCATATTCAGGACTTGCCACTTGAGAACAGGGGTGCAGTGAGGGCTCAGGGGTCACAGCCTTTGCTTATCTACAGCAGAATGGGCACTGAACAACCCGGTCAGCTGTCACCTCTGTAACCTTTCACCAGCCCAAACACTCCCTTCTCTGAATTCATCTGGCCTTTCCTTCCTATGTCTAGCATACCCCTTGCACTATGACATTGATATTTCCCATTCATTACACAGATTTTTCTTCACCTTACGGTGAGCCCCTCCATTCATTCTGAATACCTTGCCTGGCCTCTTACTTAGCCACTCAAAACCATCTGAGAAATGAGCTCATTAATGATAAGAGCTTTGCTCCAACATCTTCCCCGAGACTGTCCCTGTCCCCTATTTACCGAATAAAGATCGCATTAAATGTCTGTCATAATTATGTACTTATACATGAATGCCAAGTGCTTCGAGACCATAAAATACTTTATACATGCCAACTGTGATTATGTCTTTGAAACAATGGGGCATATGCTTAGTGAGTGGAAAAAAGATGAGGCACGGCCAGTGGTTCTTGCCCAGTCCCTGTTAGTACCCCACCCACCACCGGAGAGTAACTCAAGGGTGAGAACATGAACCCTTTACTAAGGGCTATAGGACTTCTAGGACCTGTGTTCTTCATGATCTGCCATCATGAAGGATGGTACCCAAGTCTGAGAAGAGGAGCCTGGGCAAGGGTCCCCACATATAAATAAGATGAGCATCCCATTTGAGGTTGAAATGGAGTCTCAGATGGAAACACTGATTGTTCTCATTTATTAAGGACAGGAGAGCAAGTGAGAAGGGCAGTTAGCAGGAACTGTTCCCAACCTTTCTCCCTGGTGCTCTCCGTTACTGGCCTTTGGAGGAAGCAGGAGCAGGGCGTGTCTTTTCCTTGTTTCTCCTTCCTCCAGAAGCACAACAATTGTGATCAGAAAAGAAGAAAAGTATGCATTACAGTGAATAAGTGCTCAGTCATATCCTCCCTCCCTAACCTTGTTTCTGAGAAAGAGGTTAGGAACATGTTCCTCAGCTCTTAGGTTATGGCTGCCAGAGGTGTTGTGTTGTTGTGAAGCCAGAGCTGATTCACTAACATTTCACACGGCCTCTGCTGTCTGTTGTTTAGCAGACCAGGGTCATTGATCAGATTGTTTTGAGCTCATCATCATCTGGTCTCAGAGGTCAGGGCAGTGGAGGGCACAGGAGGGCACAGTGATTTGCAGGGAGGATAGGCAACAGAGACTCTGACAGCTGGATTCTGTAGCTCCAGCCCAGCAGTGGTTGACGTGACTTGTCTCGATGTGTCTGAAGATATCAACCAGGTAACAAAGCAAAACAGGCCCTGTGTCTCCAATAGAAAACATCAAATATTTCAGGAGCCAAAGAGACTTGTGGGTGGGCTACTGGGACCATGTCCGGAGGTCACTTTACATTGTAGGCTTCTTAACAGCCATTGGAGAACCATGACCCTGTGGTTTGGAATGTTTGCCAAATGGCTCCTGTTTACCCCCAAGAGCTTAGGATGTGGGATCAGTTCTGGCCTTCCCCTACTTTCCAGCTACAGCACCATCAGCCTCCTCAGAATGCTTAACTCTTTGGCATGAGGAGCTGCTGAGGTGGCCCCATTACTACCTCCTTGACGTCAGCGAGGGAGTTGTTCCCTGTGGCTGTCTTATGTGAAATAATTCAGCATTTGTACTTCAATTAAAATTCACAGGTATATATTATTAAATGGAACTGACTCATTCCATGGCTCCTCTTCAGCTGAACGAGTGCCAAAGAAATGTTACTTACGGGCTAATGATGCAAAGCCAGGGAAACGAAGAGTTCCTTTTAGTTGAAAGGCAGAATGTGCAGAAAGCACTGATCATCCCAGGTGGCACCGTCACATGTCACTCTCTTCTAAAGTTAAGTTGAAGACTGTCTCTGTTTTTGAGGGACAGGAAAAAGGACACACAGGCATCATCTTCAGGCCTGTCATGAACTTTGCTGGGCCCTAGGTATGTTTGGAATCAAGTTGAATTCCGGACTTGTGTCCATTGTATCTCAGGGGACAGAAGGAAAAGAATGTCCTCACACAACTATTAGCAGAAAGAGAGTTTCCTTGGTTCGGTAAAATCAGACCTTCTTCTCTGTTAGCATATTAGATAAGCCTGGGGAGATGACGGAGGGAGAAAATCTCTGACTTGGCTTCTCCTCTCTCTGGGAAGATCTTGCTTCTCTCTCAAGCTCTGTGCTCTGAGTCAAGGGACTTCATACAGGCAGCCACTATACTATGTTCCCTGTGCATCTTGTGTGTCTTCATCTGCTAAATGGGCACCATATCCCACACTCAGAAAATCCCTGGATTCCTCAGGTGTGAGTATGTTTAGTGTTCAAACTGCTTAATACAATAGTATGATGAAAAACAAAAGCCTTGTGAAGGTTAGAACGTTTACAAAGGAAGGGACAAATAGTCCCCAAGTCCTTGAGCATGGAGTCCTTCTGTGGAAACTGATAGAAAGGTTCAGATCTGAAGAGCTATGGTGAGTGAGCAAGCTCCACACTTGGCCTATGAGAAATAGGTACCAGTTTTCTAGGTAGAGGAAGACCTACCCAGATTCTAGCCACCATGTACGAGGCATTCTTGCATCCCCTATTGCAACAGTTCCAGCTTTAGTTTGGTCCTGTCTGCAATAATTCACTCATCACAGGATCGTATCTGAGCCTCAATTTTTGCTTAAAGAGAAAGAGGAAATTGAGTTGGAATTTCTATGGCCTTCTTCAACTCTCAAAACATCAAAAATTCAAGTGGGAATTTCCACTTCTTTGGGAACAGGACTAAGTAACCTATAGACTCGAATTTCTGAGTTTGCCTGTCTTGTCATCTGATGGCACTCCCTACATATTTAAATGAAATTATGCATGGTTTGATGTGGAGCAGATTAAAAACATGAATGCTTTAGTATATTCTCGATGTTCCAGGTGTAAAGCAACACGGCCAACCAGCAGAACGGGAACAACCACTCCCTGCTGTCAATGTGGCACCAGATGAGATCTCACACAACAGCAGTGTCTACAGAGGCCTTACCCATTTTCTACAGGCTGAATGGCACACCCCATGCTGAAGCTGCTGCCTCTCCCTGGCCATCAGCGCACCCAGGAAACATGAACTATGAGGAGCCAACAACCGATTTCTTTGTTGACATCTTGTTACCAGAAAACAGAAATTAGGTCCTTGCCTAGATCTGTCTCTCTTCGAGTCTGAGTGCCAGCAAGTGCTTTGCAGTGGAGAGCAAAGAAATAATAATCAACTTCTTCACATCTCACAGACTGGTAACCTAAAGTTGGGTTTAAAGTTTCATAATTACAAACACTGCAGTGACCATATTTGCAACTCTCAGATGTTAGCAGAAATGTTTGCTCATATTTATTAATAATTCTAAAATTAGTCTTGCTGTTGGTTTGTATCTTGAGCAAGGCACAGGGTTTTAGAAACAATTATAATTAATTATACCATTTTCAGAAAAGGAAACTGGAGCCCCAAAAGAGGAAGTGAGTGGCTCTAGGTCACTTGGAAATGCATGTTTTCTCCAGTCTTCCATGGCAGAGAAGCAACCAGAATCCTGGTTTGTTGGTGAAAGGCTAATGGCACACAGCCCTGCAGTTAAATTTCTCAATTTCCAAACACAACTGTTCTTAGCACTACCCCGATTGCAAGTGGCAGACAGTGACCCTCACCTTTACTAGTGCAGGTTACACTAGTAGGTATGGCCTTCCTTTGGCTAGACTTGCCACAGGTTCCCAGAGGCTAGGATAAGGCTTGAGGCCAAGCACTGCCTTTGCAGTAAACCCCTAAGTCTTTGAGCACTCTGGATTAACATTAAGTTGCTAGGCAGCTCTGTTCTTTCCAAAGCAAGTGGTCTGCTTTCTTGCAGCCCACTGTCTGCCAACAAAATTGTCATGGCCCACAGCTCCCGGGTTGTTGTGGATCATTACAAACCACCATTGGAAGGTAAGATGGACATTTGTGAGAAGACACATGCTGCAACACAGCTCGCTTTATTAAACAACTCAGACACAGCATGCCTTTGTAAACTGACAGTAGTTCTGGCTCCAGGCTACCCAGCAGAGGCAGAGAGGAGCAGCCTGTGAGGAGGGTTTCCGATTTTTCACCAGCAGCAGCCCCTCTCCAGTAGCTGAGCAATAGCACCTGAAGCAGGGTGAGCCTGTGCTGCTGGAGCCTCTGTGTGGCTGTTTAAGGACAACTTGGAGGCTGCCCCTTACAGAGCACTTTGCAAGGGAATCAAAACTTCTGTTGAAAATACTAGTCCTTGCCAGCAGCAGTGACACACACACACACACACACACACACACACACACACACACACACACACACACACCTTTAATCTTCAATTGCAGTACTCGGGAAGCAGAGGCAGGTGGATCTTCATGAGTTTGAGGCCAACCTGGTCTGCAAAGGGAGTTCCAGGACAGCCACGTTTACACAGAGAAACCCTGTCTCAAAAAACTAAACAGAAAGAAAGGAAGAAAGAAAGAAAGGAGAGAACATAGAAGGGAGGGAGGGAAAGGAAGGAAAGAAGGAAGGAAGGAAGGAAGGAAGGAAGGAAGGAAGGAAGGAAGGAAGGAAGGAAATACCAGTCCTCATAGTCCTGGCAAGGGAGTCCCATGTTACAGTCCCTTATTATCCCAGTGGTGGCTTTTTCAAGTCTGAAAGATGCTGCGGCTTCTGATTCTGGGGGCCATGCATATTCTGTCAGGGGCACCCCAGACTCAAGCCAAGCATTCTGTGAAGAGGCTGTATTCTCAGCCATCAGCATCATGAGATGCTGGAAAGGTAATAAGCCAGAGGCCTGAGACTAATTCACATACCTGGGCACATTCTAGCTGAGGGGTTGCTACGAAGCGGCCAATCATGTTGAGATTCTGAATGTGCAACAAATTAATCATGTATGTGTATAGTGTATGTGTATAGTGTGTGTGTGTGTGTGTGTGTGTGTGTGTGTGTGTGTGTGTGTGTGAGTATCTGTGTCATGTTTGGGAATTTGTGTAGTGTGTGGGTGGCATATGTGTATTTCTGAAATATATCTATATTGTACATTTACCTGTGTGGAATATTTGTTTGGGTATGTGACTGGGTTCTGAATGATGAATGAAAGAAAACCAAGGACCCAAGGAAGAGCAAAGAGAGTTAGGAACAGAAGGGAGAATCTAGCAACTCATAGTATCCTGTTAATTTATACCCGGGTTCTGTACAAAAATAAAAAGGTTCTTATAAGATTAACAATTTAAATAAATATCTGATAGAACACTCTTTTCTATAGCTCATCTTTGGGATTAATATTCAGTCCATGCTTCCCATGCTGTTCTTGATCCAAGATGGCAATCACTTCATCAGCCTGTATCCGCTCCTGTAAAAAGACAATTGACACATTTCGGGTATAAACGTAATAACCAGGCCAACAGCAGATGCTTCCCCAACACTTCCAGCCAGCCATCTGTGCACAGTCAGGGAAAGCTTACTTCATCCAAACTGGTGCACTCTCCATACATCCCCATGTCCTACACAATTACCTTCCGAGATGGTTCCTGATGAAGCCTCATCCGATTACTGGCTTTCTGCCCTTTCTCTCTCATGGTCCCACTACTATTTCCCATTCAATTCAGTCTTTAGACTGAGCTCACCATTTTATCCCTGCAGACCCGTCATACTCTTCTACAAGACTTCTATTTCTCAGAAAAGGCTATTATGACTCCGCACTTGCCTTAAAAGCCTGGCCCTGGTCTCCTGCATTTGATACACCTCTTGGCCCTGGCTATTTTGTGTCCTGTTTATGTTCCTATCTCTTCATGGAACATGGCTGTAGGCTTGATTTAGGCCAGAGTTTCTCAGTCATGGCATTACTGACATGTTAGGGTGTGTGGTGTGTGTGTGTGTGTGTGCATAGGATTTTCATGTGTTCTGCAGATGTTAACATCCCTGCAAGATGTCCCCACATTGTGAGAACTATGAATATGTCTAACATTGTGAAACGTCTCCTAAATAGCTATGTGCTACATCGTAAGAAAACTTGTTCAGATCCTTCTTGGCAAGTGCTCTAGAATAAGTGCTCTAGAAGGTTCCAAACAAGTGTCACTCCTCATTCAGGTTCCTGGTGGACATTCTCCCTCAAGGCAAACTTCAACACTGTCCTATGTGAGGCTCACAACTCCAGCTGGTGGCAGGTTCTGTTTTCTTGGTGGGCTGTCAGGTATTAAAATATTCATACCTCTCAATCCCCTCCAGTTATTCTGTGTCCTGCCTCTCTGCTCACTTTATACCACAACTCTAGATTACCCCACAGTCCCTGAGTGTTCATACTCAAAACAGTTACATAGCTCTAACCTGGAAAAAAACACTCCCCTGGATGCTCCAGATGCTCCCAGCATAGCCTGTATTTCCTTTACCCCATAGTAGTACAGTGTGGGGCCAGTGGGTCTTCCTCTAAACGTGACACTGGCAAACTTCCATGTCATTTACCATTGCCATTCATCTAATCTAAGCCCACATGTTGGCTGACATCATCTTTTCTTTCCAGTCATTCCCTAGGCCTAGGGAGCTTCCACAGGTGAGGAGACAGACAGTGGGCACAATGGCTTCTTATAGCTAGAATAAAATCCATGTGCTTTAATACGAAATACAAAACGTGGGCCCTGTCTCCCTTGTATCCTTACATCCATGTGAATCTTACATTCATAAAACCTTCTGCTCTAGCTGCTCTGACTTTTTTTTCTTTGTGGGTTGTGTTCTCTGTTTGATTCCTTGGTGCTAGGAATTGGACCCAGGAGCTCACCCATGCAAGGTGTGTGCTCTGAGACAGACCTTTTCCCCAGCCATGTTTGTTTCTTGACTACCCTTCTCCAAACTTCTTCTTATCTCTGGCCTTTTGCAAGTTGTCCTCTGCCTGGAATACTTCTCCCTGTGTGGTCCTTTTCATTGGTTCATGCTGCGACTCGGGTTGTAGCTTTCATGTCACAAGTTTGAAAACATCATAGTTGGTCTACCATCTACTGTTAAGTCAGTTGTTGTATCCTGCTTTCAATATGTCACTTATTGCTGTTGGAAAAAAACCCCTTCCAATCATTTCCTTTTTATTTCCTTTGCTTATTTGTTGTCTCCTTTCTTCTTTTAGAGTATAGGTCAGGAGAGTGGAGAATCTTGATTTCTGGATCACTGATATATTCTCAGTGCCCATAAAAGCTACAACCTCTTGTGAAGGGCTCTACTATCTTAAAGAACTATTTATGTAGATGAAGGACTAAAATGCATCTCCCTAGAGAATCCCATCTTTTGCAGCTTATTTCCAACCCTGCCTCCCAAATTAAACCTTTCCTCTGTGACTCTTCATGTCCCTAAGTCATCATTTGCTGTAGACAATTCTTTCATACCTTGAATAGTACTTTTGTTATAAATTTATTTATTTATTATGTATACAGTGTTCTGCCTGCATGTATGCCTGCAGGCCAGAAGAGGATATCAATCTCATTAAAGATGTTTGTGAGCTACCATGTAGTTTCTGGGAATTGAAATCTGGTCTACTGGAAAAAGAGCCAGTGCTCTTAACCTCTGAGCCATCTCTACAGCTCCATTTTTTCCCTTAATTTTTTAAAATTAATTTACTTATTTGGTTTTCTTGTTTGTTTTTGTTTTGAAGACAGGATTTCTCTGTGTAACTTTGGAGCCTATCCTGGAATTTGATCTGTAAAGCAGGCTGGTCTAAAACTCAAAGAGATCCACCTGCCCTTCTGCCTCTAGAGTGCTGGGATTAAATGTGTGCACCAATACTGTCTGACTTGCCTAGTGTTTTAATAACTGTTATTATCTCCCTAGTTTGACACTGAGTTCCATGAAATTAAGGGTTGTGCCTCATCCAATTTCTATTCCTCAAGGGCAGTCCCTAGGCCAGTTTACAGATATTCTGATTTGAAAACAAAGCTCTTGGTGGGCCTGTTTCTGGCCTGCCTTCTTTCTGGTGCCCTCAGGACTAAGAACTGAGGTGAGGACTGCATGCAGAGGAGTCTGTCTTAGCAGACCAACTTATCTGGAGTCTGCCAGAATTCTGGTCCAGCCTCCAACCATAGGAGGAGTCCAACCAACACTCACTAGAATAGGAGAGCCATCAGAGTATTGAAACTGCTTGCACCCACCAGAAGGGAACCTTGATCCTGTACCCACCAGAAGAGGGAGAGACCCTACCAGTACATACTGGAAGAAGAGATGGGTACTCAACAACAGAAAGATCAACATGATGTCACCAGAATCTAGGGACTCCACACCAGCAAGACTTGAACATCCCAACACAGATGAAGCAGAAGAGAACAACCCTAAAAACAACTTTATGATGATAATAGATATCCTCAAAGTGGTAATGAGAAAATCCCTTAAAGGAATGGAAGACAAAATTTAAGAAATGGAGGAAAAGACAAACCAACAATTACAAGAAACAATTCAAACAGTGCAAGGCTTGAAAGCTGAAATAGAGACAATTTAAAAAAAAATCTGAGGGAATGCTGGACATAGAAAAGTTAGGCAAATGATGAGGAACTATAGATGCAAGCATAACCAACAAATACAAGAGATGGAAGAGAGAATCTCAGGCATTGAAGATACACTAGGAGAAATATATTCATCAACCAAAGAAAATCTTAAGTCCAAAAAATCTCTGACAGAAAATATCCAGGAATATGGGGCACAGTGAAAAGGCCAAACCTAAGATAATAGTATAGAAGAAGGTGAAGAAACCCAACTCAAAGGTACAGAAAACATATTGAAAAAAAGCATAAAAGAAAACTTTCCCAACCTAAAGAAAGGCATGCCAATGAAAGTACAAGAAGCTTACAGAACACCAAATAAGAGTGGACCACAAAAGAAATCAAAACACCAAATATACAGAATAAAGAAAGAATATTAAGAGAAGCAAAGGGAAAAGGTCAAGTAACATATAAAGACAAACATGTCAGAATTACACCTGACTTTTATATGGGAACACTGAAGGCCAGAAGGTCCTGGATAGATATTCTGCCACACAATAGAAGAAGGATCAATGCCTAACTCTTTTTATGAGGTTACAATTACCTTGGTACCCAAGGCACACAAAGACACAACAAAGAAAGAGAACTACAGACCAATATCTCTCATGAACATTGATGCCAAAATACTCAATAAAATACTGGCAAATCAAATCCAAGAACACATCAGAGAAATCATCCACCATGACCAAGTAGGCTTCATCCCAGGGATGCAGAGATGGTTCAACATATGAAAATCCATCAATGTAATCCACCATATAAACAAACTGAAAAAGAAAAACCACAAGATCATCTCACTAGATGCTGAAAAAGCCTTTGACAAAATCCAGCACCCTTCATGATAAAGGTCTTAGAGAGACCATGAATAATAGGGACATATCTAAACATAATAAAAGCAATATACATCAAACTAAATGGAGAGAAACTCAATGTGGTTCCTCTAAAATCAGGAACAAGACAAGGCTACCCACTCTCTCTATATCTCTTCAATATTGTACTCGAAGTCCTAGCTAGAGCAATAAGACAACAAAAGGAGATCAAGGGGATACAAATTGGAAAGGAAGTCAAACTGTCACTATTTGCAGATGATATGATAGTTTACATAACTGACCCGAAAAATTCTACCAGGGAACTCCTACAGCTGATAAACACCTTCAGCAAAGTGCCAGGATACAAGATTAACTCAAAAAATCAGTAGCCTTAATATATACAGATTATAAAGGGGCTGAGAAAGAAATCAGAGAAACATTACCCTTTAATAGCCACAAACAACATATAATATCTTGGGGTAACGCTTACCAAACAAGTGAAAGACCTATATTATAAGAACTTTTGAGTCTTTAAAGAAAGACATTAAAGAAGATACCAGAAAATGGAAAGATCTCCCATGTTTTGGATAGGTAGGATAAACATAGTAAAAATGGCAATCTTGTCTAAAGCAATCTTAAACATAGTAAAAATGGCAATCTTGTCTAAAGCAATGTACAGATTCAATGCAATCCCCATCAAAATTGTGGCACAATTCTTCACAGACCTTGAAAGAACAATCCTCAACTTTACATGGAAAAAACAAAAGACCCAGGGTAGCCAAAATAACCCTGTACAATAAAAGAACTTTGGAGGTATCACCATCCCTGACTTCAAACTCTGTTATACTGCTATAGTCCTGAAAACAGCTTGGTGTTGGCACAAAAAATAGACAGGTAGACCAATGGAATCAAATTGAAAACCCTGATATTAACCCACACATCTACAGACACCTGATTTTTGACAAAGAAGCTAAATTTATACAATGGAAAAAAGAAAGCATCTTCAACAAATGGTACTGGCATAACTGGTGAAAATAATCCATATATATCACCATGAACAAAACTTAAGTCCAAATGGATCAAAGACCTCAACATAAACTTAGTCACACTGAACTTCTTAGAAGAGAAAGTGGGAGGTACCCTTGAACTAATTGGTACAGGAGACCACTTCCTGAACATAACTCCAGTAGCACAGACACTGGGATCAGCAATTAATAAATGGGACCTCCTGAAACTGAAAAGCTTCTGTAAGGCAAAGGACACAGTCAACAAGACAAAATGGCAGCCCACAGAATGGGAAAAGATATTCACCAACCCCACATCTAACAGAGGGCTGGTTTTCAAAATATACAAAGAATTAAAGAAGCTAGTTACTAAAACACCAAATGATCCAATTTAAAAGTGGGGCACAGAACTAAATAGAGAATTCTCAATAGAGGAGGAATCTAAAATGGCTGAAAAACTCTTAATAAAATGCTTAACATTCTTAGCCATCAGGGAAATGCAAATCAAAACAATTCTGATAGACCATCTTACTCCTGTCAGAATGGCTAAAATCAAAAACAGCACAGTATATGTTGGAGAGGATGTGGAGAAAGGGCAAGTCTCCTTCACTGCTGGTGGGAGTGCAAACTTGTGTGGCCACTTTGGAAATCAGTATGGCATTTCCTCAGGAAAATGGAAATCAGTCAAAACAAGATCCAGTAATTCCACTCTTAGGCATACACCCAAAAGGTGCACATTCATACACAAGGACATCTGTTCAACTATGTTCATAGAAGCATTATTTGTAATAACCAGAACCTGGAAGCAACCTATATGCCCCTTAACTGAAGAACGGATGGGGAAAATGTGGTACATTACACAATGGAGCACTACTCAGAGGATAAACACAATGGAATCCTGAAATTGATGGAACTAGAAGAAACTATCCTGAGTGAGGTAACCCAATTACAAAAAGACAAACATAATATGTATTCATTCACTCACATATGGATTTTAGACATAGAGCAAAGGATCACCAGCCTACAGTTCACACTGCTAGCAAAGCTAGGAAACAAAGACAACCCTAAGGGAGACACGAATGGTTCCCTGGAGAGGGGAAAAGGGACAAGATCTCCTGAGCAAATTGGGAGCATGGAGGGAGGGGAGGAGGGAGTTGGGAGAAAGAGAAGGGGAGAAGAGGAGGGGAGAGGTGGATATGAGGAAGATTGAGACAGGGAAAGAATTGAGGAGAACAAGAAAAGAGACACCATAATAGAGGGAACCATTATAAGTTTAAGGAGAAATTTGGCACTAGGAAAATGCCCAGAGATCTACAAGGATGAACCCAACTAAAATCTAAGCGATAGTGGAGAGCTACCTTTAATGCCCTTCCACCATAAAGAGATTGACAACTATATGCCATCCTAGAGCCTTCATCTAGTAGCTGTTGGAAGCAGAAGCAGATGCCCACAGCTAAACACTAGCCGAACTCCTGGAATCCAGTTACAGAGTGGGAGAATGAAGAGCAAAGGGGTTAAGATGAGCAAAGGCTGGAGAAACCCACAGAATCAGCTGACCTGAACAAAGGGGAGCTCATGTACCCCAGTCTGATAGCTGAGAAACCAGCATAGTATCGACCCAGACCCCCTGAATGTGGGTGTTAGTTAGGAGGACTGGGTAGTCTATTGGTCCTCTAGTAATGGATCAGTATTTACCCCTACTGTATAAATGGACTTTGGAAGCCCATACCACATAGAGGGATGCTTTCTCAGCTTGGACACATGGGGGAGGGCCTAGGCCCTGCTCCAAATGATATGACAGATTTTGAAGACTCACCATGGAAGGCCTCACCCTCCCTGGGTAACAGAAAGGGGATAGGATGGGGGTTGGTGGTGGTGATAGGGGAGGATGGGAGGGTAAGGGAACTGGGATTGACATGTATAACAACCTTGTTTCAAATTTAAATTTAAAAAGAGAGAAAAAAGAGCGACAGAAAAGAAAACTCTTTCCATGAAGGAGCTCATCATTAATAATGATGGAACACAGGGCAACTAAAAGGAACAAACACACAAACTAATAGAAAACTACAGTTACATCTGAAAACTCAGTGCTTAGCAAGCTAACATACGTGAAATTCTCACATTTGATGGGCACTAGAAACAATAAGCATATGCTTCTCTTAAAGGACAAGGGACCCAGTATTGGGATGGATTCTCCAAGGCATCTGACATTTCTGTGTGTATATGACTGAATACTTGTTGATGATCAGGAGCTTTATTTGTTTATTTACTATTTCTCAAGACAGGAGTTCTTTGTATATACCTGACTTTCTTGGAACTCACTCTGTAGACCAGGCTGGCCTTGAATTTAGAGATCCACCTGCCTCTGAGTCACAAGTGCTGGGATTAAAGGCATATGCCACAACCACCCATTCAGATGCATACATACAAACATACATATATACATTAACTCACTGTTTTGGGACAGGCTTTCTTTGTTCACGTATCTAGTCTAAGTCGGGTTTAAGCCAGAGATTCACAAACTTTATAACATTAGAACCATCTGGGGAGTTTTAAACTGCTGGCACTGAGATAGCTCCCTACATAATTAGATCTGAAAATCTGAAGGTAGGAATTAGACTTTAGTGTTTTATAGATTCCTGGGACTCGCAGCAGAGAAAATTTGCCATTAGCAACACCAAGAGGCTCTTGCCATTTCCTACAGTGGCCACTAGATGTCGCTACAGCCTGTAGTGTGGAGAAGTTTCTTAGTACTTTTCCAAGAGGCAGGGACACTAATGTTGAGGTAAATTGAATAGAAGGGAGCAGAGCACTCAGCTTGCATTAATGATTTCAGTATATGCTACAATGCATTGCGAGGGTCTGATGGAAATAAAATAACACCAAATTAATACTAAAAATTGGGGGAGGGGGCTGATTTTGCCACAATTTGTTGTTTGGACTTTGAGACGGTGGAGTGGTACTGGCATTTTGTAGATTAAAAATTCAAGGAAAGAGTGAAGGGGATGAAGGAGGCTGCTGAGCGCCCCAGGAAGTTTCCCGGGCTCTGCGGGGTTCTCTCCATCAGGGCCTGTCCTTGCCGTCCTGTGCCAGGCTGTCATAGTCTTGTGTCTGAGATAATGCAAGCTGTCCTGAAGGTCCCACTGCAGGACTCCTTCCCCAGCTGCAGAACCTCCTTGTCCTTGTGGTCCGGGTTTCTCCTGCTCACCTCTGCTCCCGAAAGCCCTGCCTAGGCAGCAAAAACGTGCTTCCAGAGTGTGGGCAAAAGGAAAGTGAGATCCTGATTATGGAAAGGGGGCTATTTCTAAACTGCTACTGCTGAAACGGGATTCAGTTTCCAAATGTAATATGGCATCGTTTTAAGATTAGAACTTCAGAGGCTGGGAGACCACCTCTTGCAGAGGATGGGTGTCGTTTAGTTCTCAGCTGCCCTGTCTGGTGGCTCACTCTTACTCCAGGGAGTTATGTGTCCTCATCAGAACTCCACCAGCACTCAGACATGCAGAAACTCACACACATACACATAATCAAAAACTAAGTGAATCCTTCACTGGGTTTAGCGCACATCTTTAAGTCTTGCACTTGGGAGGCAGAGGCTGGATCTGTGTGAGTTCAAAGCCAGCCTGGTCTACACAGTGAATTCAAGGACAATGCTACAATGAGAGTTCCTGTCTCAACAGCCTCCCTCCTCCCCAGATGTCACTGCAGAAGTCACTACAGGCTCAACCCCTCTCCTCTCCAGATGTCAATGCAGATGTCACCCCAGGCTTGAGAACAAAGCAAAGGATTTTCCAAGGAGCAGGGCTGCCTTTTGGGTAGCTGCGAACTCACCACTTCTCTGTAAAGAGGGTCTAGGGTGAACCACAGTGCCACAGCACAGCGCTGGCCTTTGGTGACCGCCTTCACCCCATGAGGGTTCTCTCCCCCAGATGAGAAGCTGATCATTCGTCCACACTTTGGTTTAATAGAGGCCTGGCAACAAAATGAAAATTAGGTTTTCAATTCCCATACCACAGGTCCTTAAGTCATTCTGTCTGTGAGATGACTTATTTGTGTTAAATTTTGAAGCAAGGAACGATAGGATCTTAGTGTTGGAGAAAACATAGATTGCCTTATTTTTTACCTGTAAAATATAAATAGTTTCAAAATAATTTACCTTATATACTAAAAACATTTAGCAACATGAATGGTACATCCTATGCACATAGGAATCACATGGCATGTATACTGGTGATAACATGACCACTCAAGAGCACAGACCTGCCACTTCAATGCACCACCATACCCTGTGGTACTATCAGTTCGTTGGTTCTTAAGGTGGGTGTGCATTTTAGCATCTGTGAAATCAGAAGGAAACCTAGGCCACAGTTACAGGTTTGGACACCCTCTTAATCCTCTGCCCGTACACCTATGGCTTATGTAGTTGTCACAACATGACGATTTGAATTCATTTCCTTTATGTTATTCCTGTGCAGGAGTCATACAGGTGTCACTTGGCTACTTCTGGTGATGAGACCACACCAGCCCTTGGGATGGCCTACTCATGGCTTCAGAGATATGAAATGACTGATTGAATAATTCGAAGCTTGCACACTACTAAGCCCTTCACTGATTTTTGGCAGGACAGTATGAAGGAACACACTGAGGGCACTGGGCAAGAGAGCAAGCATAGGCAACAGAGTGTTAGGGGCCGTGGTCCTGCGTCTTAAGGGGGGTGGAGAGGGACTAGAGACCATTTTGTACCCTTTAGGAAACAATGAAAGCGTATTTATCCCATTGAGCCTGAACAGGTACAGCCCATGCACAATAGTAGCCCTGGCCATTGTGGATGTGGGAAGATGAGTGCATTCTACATCTATGAGACCCTTTCTTTCTAACCTTCTCAGGAGTATATCTGGATGTTTTTAAAGTCTCTGGATGCTACACAGATTTACTCTGGTTCTGTGACTGTGTGTAGGAAGCCAGAAGTAGGGGAAAATCGAAATTGAGACTCCCCCCCCACTTCTGTGTGTGGGGGTGGGGTCATGCAATGTGTGCAGGTGTCCCTAGAGGCATAGGTCCCCTATAGCTGGTCTTAGAGGAAGTTGTGAGCCACCTGGGAACCAAAGTCTGTGTCTTTCAGTATCCAGTGTGGAAAGAAAACAAGGTAATCTGCCCACTTCTGCGATTTCAAGAAGTCTGTTATATAAAAGGAGATAAATGGGAATTTTTTGAGAATTCCTAACCTGATCATTTTAATTACCTACAAAAGCCCTAAGAGTCTGCTACATGAATGAACATGAAGTGCTATTCAGCTTTTCTGTTAAACGCTTATCCTTTTTTCATTCGGTTTTTGGTGGGAAGCAGATTCTGGGTTTTGTGGGATGCCTCAGTAATTAGAACTGTAGAACTGCAAAATGAGAATGTCCCCGCTTTCACCCACAGAAGCAGCAGGAAAGCACTTAACTTAGACTCCTCAAACATTGGGACTGAGCTATAGTACTCCAGTCCCTGCACCATCAATCATTGGACACTTCCAAATGTGGCCACTAGATGGAGTAGAGGCAAAGGAATCTTCAACCATCTGACTCCCCCCCCCCGCCCCAAATGATTTAAGAAGTGACCATTTTTCTTCTTCAGTTTCCATGTTTTCAAAGCTTGGGAATAAAATGTTTTCCATGCATAGTTCTTCTAAAAGTGAGAATCCTTTAGAGGTATTTAAACTCCAGTCCAAATCATTAATCTTGGTTTATTTTTCTCAACTTAGGAAACCCCAAACCTCTCATTTCTTTTTCTTTTCAAACAAAAAATGAGGCTACATGTTGGTTTAAACATACACCATTGTATTCAATTTCATGAACTATTTTAAATTATAACCACGCTTCTATGTACTATCCCCACAATCCTCATTTAAGCCAATGGCATATAGCTTGGGATATATGTGTGGTGTTCCCTGAATGACCATGTATATTTCGCTATGGAAAAAAAAATGTGCAAGCTAAGACTGAATGTACAAAACATGTGGGGAGTTTTGAAAATTGCTTATATAATGCCAACATTTTGAAGTTCATTGTGCACATGTCCTGACTACTTAGATTTTTCAGGAAGAAAGATGCCTCATAATCAATTTATAATTCATAAGTTATTCATTTGAGATTTAGTGTTCTCATGGTATGCTAGATCTTTGCCTTAAAGATCACAAGAGTCTAACTATAAGGTCTGTAAGTGCTAAGGAGGTTGCTGTATGACTGTGACTTTTGATTTAAATGTTTGTGAGTATAAATACCCATTTGGGGGTGAAATGTCATGGCTTGTACTTAATTATATACACCAGCTTGTATGCATACACATTTGGAGGTTCACACTCAATCTAAGCACACTGGTTACTTGGAGCCGTTGACTTGAACTAGACCTAAGGACTTTAGGAACCAATGCTTAAAGGTTCCCATCAGAGCATTGACAGAGGCCCAGAACCTAAGCCAGTGGTTCTCAACCTGTGGGGTGTGACCCCTTTGGCGGTCACAGATCAGACATTGCATTATGATTCATAACAGTAGCAAAAATTATAGTTATGTGTAGCAAGGAAATAATTTTATTCAGGAGTCACCACAACATGAGGAACTGTACACAGAGATCACATGTTAGGAAGGTTGAGAACCACTTTGATTCCAAATCCAACATCATTTATAGAATGTGAGCAAATCCTTAAAAAAAAATCCCTCTTTCTCAATTTGCTTTAAAACAGTCATATCATATATGCTAAACACTTGTATTATTTATAAATCACAGGATCCTCTTTACTTCCTATATTCTTTAGCCCAGAAGTATTTGAAACTTACCAACCTGCAAGATGTTGGGAAGATGGCAATATTGAAACAAAGATAACTTTTCAGGCAGCAGCTTACTTACAGTCACGGTTTTCGCATCCATTTCGGTGAAGATGAACTCTCCTCCTTCAAAGTCGTCATTCATATACAGGAGCGCACTATAAGGAAAGGGGGAACCACTGAAATGACAATGTAGCTCTCAATGGCACCACTGTAAACTATCCAAGACTACTGTTGAAAGGCCGGTAAGTTGCCTTTGACACTGACCCACCAAGCCCTTGGAATTAAGCTCAGGGATAGCCTGGCTTAAGTTCCTGATGCTTACTGATTCCGCTCACACGTGGTTTTAGTCTCATTTCAAATGCACTTTACATTGTAAATGCCTAATCAGGATTTATTTCATATAGCCCTCTAACCTCATCCCAGAGGATGGAGTTTTCCTTCTTTAGCTTAGTTAATGAATTGCATGTGACCTAGCCTGGCCATGCAGACAGGGGCTACTCTCTAAATGTCTTGAATCAAATAAAATATAGCAACAACTGATGTGTTATACAAAGTGACTACATACTAAGATACGTTGTTGCATGCTAGGATATCTTCTCTTGATGTACTAACCTATCTCCTCATACAATACAACAGTATTCCCTTTTGAGTTTCTATTTTACTAATGGGAAAAATACAGACATAGTTTTTGGAGATTGTGAATAATGCACGTGTGTGATAAGGTGCTATGTACATTGGGTGACCATGCCCTTGCGCTCTCAGAGTGGGAAACACACACAAAATGATATGCCTTAGTGACTCACACTCGCTTATAAATCGAGTGCCTACTTCGAAGGAGGTAACCTGTTCACGACGCTTAAGACAAAAGTAAGAAGACTGGTCCCAGGGCCATGGCTGCTGTTGCAGGTGACTCCTAGAGATCTCTACTTTCCAGAGTTGAACAAGGTTGCAAAGCAAAGCAGCTTCTGCCTTCCACAAAAGCTTGACCAGAAGTGGCCCTACCTATAGTCCCGGAAAGTGTAAGCAGGAGGCTCCTTCCAGCATTCATTAACTTCCGGATCCAAAAGGCAGTTGTCTGCATGAATTGGGTGACTGAGGTCATTTCTTCTATCCTGCTGCCCTGCCGGAAGAAGTAGCAAGAATGAGAGCAGAAGAGCAAAGAGAGCAGAGGAGACCAACACGCAACACCTAGAGGCATACTTTAACTGCCTTCTTCGGTCCTTGGCAAAGCTGCAGACAGGGAAGGCAGTGAGTGTGGTTACAGAAGGAACACCGCCAAGACAGTCCTGTGGTTGAACATAAACTGGACGTGACGCTCTGGCCAAGCCACACTGTCCTTTCTGCTATAAAGGAGGGGATGCATACCCCTGGATAAATCCCATGCATTTTATGGGTTGAGTTTCATGTATGGTAGCAAAAGCCCTCAGCAGGAATCGAGATGGAAACCAAAGGTTTTGACTCATTCTGACTCTCCACAAGTGTAAAGTACTCTGACATATATTTCTTCCCACCCCCAGTCGGGTGAGTGGAAGAGAAAACCAAAAACTGACAGTAAGCAGCCGTGAGGGGCGCTTGCCTCTCCGAATGCTCTGTGGTGAGCCCCTCACTGTCCGCCCCTCCGCTCTCTGCTTGCAGACATAACTGTACTTTCCAGCCGCCTGGGTCTCTGAGACACAGACAAGAAAAGCATTCTTTTCCCCGCCTGTCCTAGCCATTACAAGAAATGGATTTGAAGACAGAAAATGTACAGATGAGAATCTGACAGAACTTTAGGAGTCAAAGGGGAAAAAAGAAAAGAGTAAGTGTTGTTTTAGAAGTCTGGCGCTCTCATACATTATCACTGTAGAACATAACAGACCTTTGCTGTGGACTGTTTGCTTCCCTGGGGCATTCTGGGAAGAAGGGGACAAGTTCAGGGTCTGGAAACCTACCAGACAGGGCTGTTCTGCAGACCATGTGTGTATAGGAAAAATACAGGGTTGAGTTCAGCATGAAATAGGATTCCACAATCTTCCGAGCTTTCTCGCTGACGTCATAGAACAAGCGTGCACTCTTCAGTGGCACTCGGCCTTCATAGCCAAACTGAGAAAACAAAACGCTGAGGACATTACAGACCATGGGGCTGACTGGAGGGCTGGAAACAAACAAGCTCTAGGGTTCATGAAGAGAATAGAGACTGGCTATCTCTGCACTAACTAAAATGAATAATAAATACCGCATGTTTGTGGGTTCAGATATAATGGTAAGCCACTGAAACAACTCTTCCTATGGCAGAGGGAAAGTCAGAAGCTAATTTCTCTCCCCCCACCTCTTCTACAATAAATATATCCTTCACTCGCATCTCCTAATACTTCTTCTTTTTGCTTTTTGTTTTGTTTTGTTTTTCGAGACAGGGATTGTGTGTATTGCTTTGGAGCCTATCCTGGAACTAGCTCTATAGACCAGGCTGGCCCCGAGTGCTGGGATTGAAGGCATGGGCCACCAAAACCCAATACTTCTCATACTTCTTGAGAAGAATTACTGACTTAGGAATGTTTTCATCACTAGCTCATGAGCCCCTTGAAGACAGTGGTTGCAAAGTTTTTGGTGATATAAGCTTGGGAACCATGAAGCTTGTTAAATGGATGCCCATATGAAGGGAATCACCAGAGACAGGGAAGTGGCTGGGGGTGTGGTTCAGAGGCAGAGTGTCTGCTGAGAATGTCCCCTCAGCACAAACGACAAAACCACCGAGTCTCCATTCCAGTGTTCCTTCTGAACTCTTCTTCCTGAATCTGCCATTTACAAAGGTCTCCCCACCCCACCCCCTGCTCCACCATCCACAGGAACCCAAACTTAAAGGGCGCAAAGGATTTACTTTGAGTGCTTTCAAGACAGTTGCTCCTTCAAACTTTTCATTGGGTGTATGGGGCGATGTTTTCCCTCGGTATCCATCACCAACCAGCATGATTCCCTGAGGACAAAATGCATTCAAAGGCTCTTTTAGTGACAAGCCACAATGCACCAGGACTCCCTTTCTGCTTTGGCTTCCAAAAGCTGAGAAGTCAAATCAACACTCAGCACCATTTAACCCCAGGGTTCAGGTATAACCAATTCTAACTAATGGGACTATTTTTGTTCATCTTCATTATAAAATTCTACTTTTAAAGAATAGACATTTAATAAGCAGTATTCATATATTGGCCAATCACTGGTTAAAATAGAGGGATTTCTCCAGCAACTTCTAAGGGAGGCAGGTCAGCTGCTGAATGGCTACCATGTTAAGAACTAAGTCAGTGGGAGTTTCAGATCATTCCAACCTAATAGCTATGAACACACATCCATGGTTATTGTCTTTCGCCTAAGTAAGTAAATTCTAATTCCCTAAAGCTGCCCTGCACTCCTCCAGGACAATGCCCTCAAGGTTGAAGACAGACAGACTGGCAAAGGGGCTTTTATCCTTTACACCATTGCCTCCAGGCTCTAGTTGGGCTAGCATGGAGGACTCCCCTTCCCAATGCTCACACTGGCCACGCTGTGTAGCTCCCGGCACTGCTCTTCTGACAAGACGTTGTCTAGAAGAACACGCTGAGTCCCATTCAGCTGTTCTGAGTTGTAGACAAAGGTGATGTTCTCATAGAGCAGCGGGCCACCTGGAGGGACAAAGCAGAGCATCTTCCCTGCTGCTACCACCCTCTAAAAGGATGCACAGAAATCAGTCTATAGTAGACAATCCTAGAGATGCAGAATCCACAGGAACACAGAAACACAAGACAAATCACACATACAAAGATTAACACATATCAGGTCTCAAACCCGGGAACAAACTGCTAACTGAGGTGCCTATTAACATGGCAAAGCAGACCCTGTCAGTCAGTCTCTCAGCCTAACCAGTACCTGGCATACCCTGTCCCTGACCCTGAACTCTCTAATGCAAGGGACTTGGCTCTGTTGTCTACATTGATGCTTCATATAACTTAATGCCAAAAATTATGAGATGGAATGGGAGCAGGAATGTGAAAGAAACTGCAGCCAAGTCAGCACTATTAATGGAAAAGATTGATATTATTTTTGCTTAAAATACAATACCAGATTCCACACGACAAGTCTCCCAGATGACTGGGAAAGGTTCTTTAGGGCTAGCTAAGCATACCTTACAGTATCTTGTCACCTAGTGCTGGCTTTTTATCACAAATTTTTATCTTGAAGCTACTTTGAACTTTTAGTCAATCTGTAAATTTTAGTTTTCATCTGGCCTTACTGCATTATTAATAAGCCTATCAGTTTGATTTATTGTTAATATTAAAACATTCAATCAAGCAATCAGTGGGAATTGGCCTTGTACCTCATCAAGATAAATGTCTAAGGCAGGACTCAGCTAAAAGATAGTTATTCAGCTTTCTTAGTCATCACATACCTTTATTTTAAAAATTTATTATCAAGACTTAGAAATGTAGATTTTTTTTTTGATTCTGAGACAATAAATCCACAGAGCCCTAGTTTTCAGAATCACATCTTTTGGATAAGAAGAAAAATAAGTTGTTTGCTTTTACAATTTGATGTTTCTTAAAACTTGTCTTAAAGTTCTTGAAAATTACTGAATTGGATAGACTCTCAAGACCTCTTGAAACTTGAAATGTGTGAATAGGCTTTATGAGTTCCCAGACAGTTATATACTAGGAAGTAATTTTCAGATTTATGTCACCACAACTCCTCCCCTCTATACTCCTGCCCTCCTCTCTCCTCCTCTCCTCTCGCCTCTTTTTTTTTTTTTTTTCCTTCCTCATGGCAGACTCTAAGACAGTCCTCACTGCCTTCTAGATCTCTGATCTCTGTCCTCATGTGAGGTTGGCTTGCTAACTGTTTCTGAGTCACAGAATACAACAAAGGAGATGGGAGGTCACCAGAGACTGTGACTTCTCTGTGGCTCACTGGCCCAGTTCACTGCCAGCATGTGTGCTTTGATTAGGCAAGTAGTTCTATCACTACTGATTTAGCAAGGAACAGAGGGCATCCTCTGGCTGAGAAGTAGCCAGAACTGCACAGCCATCGCTCATCAGTTCTCCAGAAAATGAGTTCTGCCGTCTGAACTGGAAGTATTTCCCAGTTTTGCTAGCTAATTTTATGCCAACTTGACATAAAGATACAGTCATTTTGGGAAAAGTGAACCTCAATTGAGAAAATGCTCCCACCAGATTGGCCTATGCACAAACCTTAGTGCATTTGTTTTGACTGATGATTGGTGTGGGACAGTGAAACTCATTGTGGACATGCTACCCCAGGGCTGGTAGTCCTGGTTGCTATAAGAGAGCAGTCGGTGTAAGCTATGGCAAGCATGCCCGGAGGCAACACTCTGTAGGGTCCTGCCCTGCTGTAGGTGGCATGGAGGTCTTTGTGCTCATAGAAAAGCACTGGAGGGACCTGGAATGTTAAACACAGGGGCCTGTTCTTGAAAACAGGCAATGCATGGCCATTTATCTTTCCAGAATGCTGGGATGGGGCGTGTTTGAAAACCTGGTGAACTTTGCATTATTGTGTGGTAGGAGAAGATAACAGACCCTCTCTCAGACCCTTATCATAGGCTTGTTTTGCTCAGTCTGTAGAACCTCTCTTTATGGACATTTTCATATGTAGTCAATCTATACAATCCATCTTTATGTACTTCACCAAGAGTTCCAATGTAGTCACATCTAATCTTTGTTTATCTTATTATGTTCAAGTATATTTAAGTAGACTTTATTGTGCACACTGAATTGAGATAATTATTGCCAGGAACATTTTCACCAAATTGTGCTGTGCTTAAATATACCTAAAATAAACTATGCGGGGCTCAGGCTCCCAAAGTTTGAATGAACACTTGCTCTTAGTTGTGTTGAACTGAACTGTCTTCTTGCCTCCTGTGGACCATTACCACACTGGCCATGGTGATCATAGAGATCCCCAAACTCTGATTGAGTGGCTGCCCCATCTCTTTCCCATGGTGGGTGGTGATATGGAATTACAAGATGATATAATATACCAGTTTCTCCACAAGTTACCTTTAGTCATGATGTTTTATCACAGCAACAGAGACCCTAACTAAGATACCAGTCAAGCCTCCACCTAGATGTTGGGATAAGCTTTGTTGGAGACTGGGATAAATGGCTTTATCCATGTTGTCTCCAGGTTCTGAACCTCAGAAAAGATGAGATAATAAATGGCTATGCTATAAGCAGATGAAACTAGGTAAAACAAAAATAGTGACTCCCCCTTTATAAGTCTTCTTCATATAGTTTGGAAAGCATGTTCCAATCCATGTAACCAATTTAAAGTCCTGGTCAAATTGAGGTAGAGCCCTTCAAACTCAGAAAATTGCATATTTACTATAACTTAGAAATGAAAAACACTCCCTTGTCAAGAAAGACAAAATTCACAGAAAAATATTTACTAATATAGAGTTCAAATAGAAATATAACATAGAGTTTAGTGAACTAGATTGGTTTCCATTATTCTCTCGGTGAAGCAATTTACTTAATCATAATAAGATTATTATTAAAGTATGAATTTCAGTGTCACTATGCTAAAACATTTAGGAAAAAATTCCTATCACCCAAGCTCAGCATGAGTGTTTGTTGTTGTCATTACTACTATTGAATTAGTTAGCTGTACTAGAAAACTATATCAGATGATGGTGTCAATGTTAACAAGCTTGCTTTGATTGGTATATTTAAAGCAGGCTTTGAGGTATTAACTGTATCCTAAGCTGTGGGACAAGCAACATTCAAACATTCACATACAAGCAGGGTGCTGCATGTGTGTTCTGAAATATGTAGAATGTAGGAAATTGGGAGTATTGGTATCTCAAATATGCTTTTCATGAGCTAATATAATTACTACAGAATGTATAGTTCAAAAAGTAAACAAAAGAAAGGGGTAAAAAAAAGAAACTTGCCTTTCATGAGGATACAACCAGTCCAAAGATGACTTACAGTAGCACAACTAGACAGGGGAAAATGTGAAAATTAAAATAAAAATGTAGTCCAATAGGTTGTGGTTCCTGGGCCCTGATTTGATGGCTGCTGCCAACTTTTAACTGCTGTGGAGGGAGATTTAGTCAAACAACTTAATTCTTCTCTCATTCATAAAGTATGTGCCTGGCTCTGTCTCCCTAGTTGCAACAAAGTTCATCTAGGCAACTGTGCCTTTGTGGTCTCTGTTTGAGGCTCATGGCAAGAGCAATGGATTTCCATAAATATCACATCTCACTAGGCATGGGTCGAGGTGCAAGCTAATAAGCCCTGCCATGAGAGCAACCCTTTAAGGTTATAAAGGACTTTATACTCCTCATCTCCTGAATAGTTACCATCATCCTTCAGAGATGACAACTGCAAGGCATAGAGGAAGTAAGGAGTGATGTTTATAGTATGCATCCTATCATAACCCATTCTGAAATCAAGCCTTCAGACTCCAAGTTCAACATTGTTTCTGCCTTGTCCCCAGTGACTCCAGAATCATTAATCAGTCTGATCTTTGGAAAATGGGGGTTAAAAGAATGGGTGACAGAGGTGTCTTCTGTGAGTCATCATGACTGTTACTTAGGCTGGAGTTACTTTGGGAGGTGGTCCCCAGCAACTGTGATGTGTGAATATTATTAAACACTAACCCAAGGAGTTGACGGACTCTTTGCAAGCAATAGGAAAGGTGTTTTATGGCACTTGCCCTCTGCCTTGTCCACCTTGGCATATGTTTTCTATCCAGCCCTGTGCAGTGTTCTGGGCCTGGTAATTTTATAGCTTACCCCAATGTCAGTCTGGGTCCCATTCAAGAGTCTGAGGGCACTGCCATTGTGGCAGAATAAGAAATGCATTTGCACTTTGTTACCAGTTCCTAGTTCAACACTACTAAACCACTTGATGCTTCCTGAATAATAGAAGTGTATTTTATTATTCATAGTCTTTGCCAAAAAAAAAATCACACTTGAGCTGATTATGCTAATGAAGTGCTTATTGAATTCAACCTGCAGCTTGGGGGATGGAGAAGGTGGAAATCAGGCTGTGTGAAGGTCTTGAACACCAGGTTTATACAAGACTGCAATGTTGGTGGGGGGAGGGCAGTGTGCAAAGAGACTACAGGAAGATCTCTGACCTGTGAATACTTCATCTGGTTCTTCATTTGCATCCTGCATGATACCTTTCATAGTCAACTGCTAAGCATGTTTCTGAGTTGTCTGAACACATCTGTCAAATTTACAAAATCCAAAGAAATCTTTTTGTTAATTAATTAACTTATTTATAAATGGTTTCATGAGACAGGGTTTCTCTGTGTAACAGCCCCAACTGCTGCCCTGGAACTCAGTAGACCAGGCTGGCCTTGAACTCTCACAGATCAGTCTACCTCTGCCTCCTGCCAGTGCTGGGATTTAAGGTGTGCACTACCATGCCCAGCTCAGACTCTGTTATGTTTAAGGCAGGGCCAGTCCTGGGACTAATCATCACAGATATTTATACCTTGTTTTGTCGTCAGGGCTTATACTTTAGTCTATGTTTTAGGTACAACTATGTGTAATCAGTGCAGTAGGTATAGAAGAAAACAAATTAATCAGGTTCTGAACATGACTGTAGGTTCAAGTGCTTGCCTGGTGTCACGTGAGACTTTGGAGAAGTGATTAAATGCGCTCTTAAGAAACTGCTACTATGGTTCGGAAGCTGGCCGCTGGAGGCAAGATGGTTTACATCTCAAATGGATAAGTGTTGGACAGCCGAAATCAGTCCCCATGAAGATTGTCTTTTATAACAGATTTCTTCTGGGGAATAGCAGAATTTGTGGTTTTTTTTTTTTTTCTTCAAAACTCTGCTTCAGCAAGATATGAAAAAAGGAAAAGGCTACAGAAGCTCATCTAATTCAGATTTGATGATGGAAGAGGGCCACCAGGAAACCCTCCAGGAAGAATGGGTCAAATCAGTTATCTTTAAGGCCCCAGCCCTCCTCCAGTGGCTGGTGGATGAGGAAGGTAAATGTCTGCTCTAAGAACATACACATGTGTAGAAGGAAGCCATCAAGAGGTAAAGAGCAGCTCACAGGACAGGATGGTGTATGTCTAAATAAGAACTGTTCTGTATCCTCACAGATGAATGAGGTCATGATGGGAATTCCCTCTACGGGATCTGGCCTGATTGACATGTAGTTCTATAAATGTAGATTTTTGTCTCCTTACTTTTTTTGGTACAGTTTACTAAAGTATTAATATAGGTTTAATAAGTATTTTTAGGTTGCTAACATGATTCTTCATCTTCATATGATTCAGCCCAAAAATACCTGATCTGGAAGAAATAAAGGCTACGTATTTTGTTCTGGCTTTTTGTTTGTTTGGTTGGTTTTAGTTTTTACTTTTTCAAAACAGAGTTTCTTTGTGTATCACTGGCCATCCTGGAACTTGCTTTGTAGACGAGGCTTAGCTTGAACTCAGTCTGCCTGCCTCTGCCTACCAAGTGCAGGGATTAAAGGTGTGCACCACCACCACCACCTGGCTACAGTGTATTTACTCTGTTAATGTTGCCTTTTTCAACTTCTTCACTGCAGTGCTGCTCAATGTTATCTTGCTCTCATTTACAAATAAACCACAATATAATTTTAAAAAAAAGAAATTGCTACTATTAAAATGAAGGCATGTAAATTTGCTTTTAAAATTATATATGCAGACAATAATGGCTGTTTAGAAGTACTACTAACATTGTCAACAGTACTCTTGCTAATGTATTTTATTACAACAATGCTTGGCTCTATGTAAAAATTGCTTTTGGCAGTACTCTGAAATTCCACTAATTCTGTTCTTCAGTTCATATTACGTTCTGTTCTCTTATCTCTTATGCTTTTGTTCCAATTGTTTTACTGGCTGGCTCTCTGAACACCCCTATAAGACCAGTTAGGGATGATATTGTAGATCAGCATGCACAAAGACCTGAATTAAACTTCTACCATATCATACATAATTAAACAAATAAAAATAAAATCTCTTTTTACTCAAAGCCCTGCTTAAATCTTTGTTATTCAAGTATCTCAAGTGAACTAATCCAGTATCCCACATGACCTATGTCTTCTCCAAGATCCTTGGACATCCCATACTACCTAGCATTCACTAACTGGCAGGACAACAGAAATAAGCCTAGTGAACTCTCTAAGCCTCAAGTATCCAGCCGAGAACAGGGAGGACCACATAGTTCCTATCTATTTCAAAGGATGGGAGCAGAATTGGGAAACACTTTTGCAATGACATACCGATCTGAGATCTGAGGCTCAAGTCAGTTACTTACTGCTACCTGCAGATCAAGATGTAGAACTCTCAGTTATCTCTCCAGTACAATGCGTGCAGGCATACCACCATACTTCCCACCATTATGATAATGGACTAAATCTCTGAACTGTAATACAGCCCCGATTACATCTTTTCCTTTATAAGAGTTTGTATGGTCATGGTGTCTCTTCACAGAAATAAAACTGTAAGATAGAAGTTGGTACCAGGGACTTGGGCATTGCTGTGATTGGCCTGACCATGCTTTTATTTGGAGGGATATAGACTTTGGGACTATGGATTAGGAAAGCAGTGGAATGCTTTAAATGGGGCTTAATGGGCCATCCTGGAAGGAACATGGAAGACAGTGGAGCTGAGGGTGATTTGAACTGTAGAGGCCTGGATCAAGAGGTTTCAGAGAAGAATTTTAGTATATGACCTACAGCCTGTTCTTTCCATATTTTCTAAAAATCTGCCTGAGGATAAAGTAAATTAATTTACTGGATTAATTGTATTAGCAGAGGAAATATTAAAACAGCTTAATATTGACTCTATGATGTGGTTATTAGTGTTAACTTTTCTGCAGATTTGTAATGAAAAGGAGCAAGCTGTGTAAGGAAAATTACAAAATGTACAATTTGAAGAGGAAAGGGGCACCAGGAAGTGGAATGGAGCTAAGTGCAGTTTTCAAGGAGATGAACAGATTAAGGGAACACCTGATGTTAAATAAAATAAAGGGAGTAGTGATCTCAGGGCAAGATCCCATCCAATTTAACTTCCAACTTTTGAAAAGAAATTAGAAAAAAACTTTCAAGGTTTTCCCTGTCATATCCTATTCCTCTATCTTCATAGAAGTAAAAGCTTGCAGGTACTTACCTTCTCTTAAGTCTCGGCCTATCTTGGGTGGTGACTTTTTCCCCATTGACAATCCATGTCCTGCCCCCTCCATGTTCACTCCTAAAGGAACCCTGTCCATTAAAAAAAAAAGTTGATACTGAAATTTCTCATTAAATAAAGATGTCCAAAGGCAAAAAATACTGTATCTAGACAGATTTTGTATCTGTATTGTTTACTATTCATCTGTTTTTATTCAGTGATACACCCGTGCTTTTGCGTGGGTCTCTCAGCATCTGCTAGATGTTCTTTCTCTCTAAATCTTCTTCGCAGCTTCTACTAAAATTAATTGCAACCCTAATTTCACTCCCTACATATCAATTTGTTGTCCCAAAGGACAGGAAAAATGTGGTTGTGTGCACCTTCATAATTCTCCATGTTGTACTGTCTCTTGAACAGGGATTGCATCACTGAATAATGCTGGAGTGGAGATAAATCGTGGCCTAATGTAATAGTTGGCTCTTGACTATTCTGAGGAGGAAGACATAATTGTGTCAAGCTTGGCAAATACACAAGTGAGAATAGATGGCCTTTTAACTGACATGAACTGGGAATGTCCAAACACTCCTATATGTCTTTGATTCTCAGTCATCTTATGTCACTAATTGATTGCAAAGTTCTACAACCCAAATCTTCCAGTTTATTGTGGCAAAATCATAAGCAAGTGTCTTCCATTGACAAGGCCTGTCTCAATGTGAAGACAGGTCAATTGGACTGTGTGATCACAACAGGTAACTCACATGTGTGATAAGCTTGAGTTATTTAAAAACATGTGAATTGACTACAATTATATTAAAAATGAATTCCCTTACTTTTGATTTGTTCTGTAATAACACATAGTTCACTATGACTGATCTTGATTTCAAATGAATGGAGTAACTGAATTTGCCATCAGAAAGCAGATTTTGAATATGTTAAAAATGCAATGTATGCAATTCTCAAAGCATAAAAACCATTTGTTTGTTTGTTTGTTTTGGTTTTTTTTTTTTTTTTTTTTTTTTTTTTTTTTTTGCTGTTTTTCAAGAAAAGGTTTCTCTGTATAGCATCCCTGGCTGTTCTAGAATTTGATTTGTAGATTAGGCTCACCTCAAACTCACAGAGACCTGCCTGCCTCAGCCTCCTGAGTGCTGGGATTAAAAGCATGTATCACTACCTCCTGGTAAGGATAAAAACCATTTTAAAAAGCCAATTTCATAAAATTTGTTAACAAAAACAGCATCCAATTTTGAACAATGATTAATCACAGGAACAATGATTAATCCAAATGCCAATTAGCATTTGGAGACTTCCTGGGGTAACTAAGGAAACATATTCACACACAAGGAGAAAATAATCAGTCATAAACCACACAGAAGAGAGTGGGGCCATAACCCAGTTCCTAATGTATAGTTCAGAGAATGTAACTACACCCCATTCTCTAGTCCACTGGAGTTAAGTTCCCTATACTTTGTCCTGCCTCTGTGCACTTTGTCTCTGTTTAAATTGTTTTCCAAATGGAGTACTCACCGGTTCTCATCCTGCCGTTCTCCGTAACTGACCCAGTAATTCTGTTTTCAGTTGAGAAAAAGGTATAAATTTATTACTAAAACACCACTTATAGGTATAAGAAATTTAAAATACTCTTAATGAAATATTAAGAAGCCTTGGAATACTCAGAAACTTGTACTGTGTATTGATGAGGAGAATGTTGATACAATTTTGGCAAAGGCACCATGGACAACAAATGAATCAGTCACCCCACAGATTTAGTTAGGGCCTTTGTTCTTTTGTTCTGGATAGTAACTTGAAATCTTGTAACAGAAAGGACTTAGAGATCCTTCAATACAATGGCTTTGTGGATCATTAATAAAATTGGAACAAAGAAACCATGCTGGACCTAACCCTGTACAGATCCATGAAGTAGATGTCATGCTCTGGTGCCTCTTGTGAAAACACAATTCTTCAGCATGTTAAAGTAGGAACAAATATATTGTAGATGATATACTTTAAAATAACCTAATGTTTAATGCCAATGACAATAAGCCATAATTAAGAAAGATTAAAAACATGTTGAAATTATTGGTTTCCTCCACTGATTAACATGGATATTGCATAAAAATATTCAGTCATCAATATATAAGTGGAAAAACGTATACCTCTGTAATTCAAAGAGGAAAAATAATACTATGGGAAAATACTATAAACTGGCCATCAGAATAATAAAAGTTAGAATAGCAACAATATAGAAATGGGAACTTTATATGTAGGAGAAGTGCAGTCGATTTTCCTCCTATAAGTTTGGTAGACTGGTACTTTTATATAGCATTAGAAGCAGTGAAGGTATCCAAAACATTTTCTTAGTATGGCAGTTAAGTTTCAAGAATTTTCAAACCTCATATTTTTCATGCAGAGTGAGCCCACGCTTAGTTTATTCAAAGGTTCAATAAAAAAAGGTCACTGAACTATTCATGTTTGAAAGAAATCAGAAATAATTCAAGCATCAAAGGAATTAATCATATATTAAATTCATGTATGTAGTGAAACATTTTAAAGCCTTAACAAAGTGAAGCCAAGCATCTCATTAAATAAAAATGAAAACATGCATTTATCTACAGCAGTGATGAGGTTTGTAAAGGGTGTTTTTTCACAGGACAATGGGGTAACAATGGGGGAGCAGTGGGGTCAATGGGAGACCATGGGGGAGTAGTGGAGGACAATAGGGACCATGGGGAAGTAGTGGAGGACAATAGGGACCATGGGGGAGTAATAGGGGACAATGGGACCATGGGGGAGTAGTAGGGGACAATGGGGGACCATGGGGAGGGGTAGGGAAAGCACAGCACAAAAGGTGACTCAGCCCAGCCTTTCTGAAGGTGTGTTTCGTTGTTTAAAGAACAATATGCATTAAATATACAAAACTTTTACGTCTAAAGGTTAGAAAACAAGACAAATGAATCATGTACAAAATATTTGCTTTTGACTTTGGGCCTTAGCATCATGGAAATCTATCAAAATTTTTAAAGTTCACCACATGAATAACTTAAAGATGTCTCCTAATCAGTTTTTAATTTGTGGCTGGGGCACTAACCTTAAATATCCATTTTTATTGATTTTTAATAACATTTTTAATTTATTTAATTTTTAAATTAAATTGTCCCACTTGGTTCTTACCGGTTCAGAATATAAAAATCCCAGACCCTCTGCAGCTGACTTTATCAGTTCAGATTCAAGGTTATGACGTTTGACAAATGCTGTTAAATCCTAGAGAGAAGAAGAATTCGTGTTTAAATAACAGCTACAGGACATGATAGATGCTGGAGTAGAACGTTTCATTAAAACGGCTAATGAGCTTGGCAACAGGTTTTCACAAGCTAGCACCTATGAGAAATGTGCTTCTATCATGGCTAAAATTGGAAAGAGTTAAGATCTGGAACAACCACTAAATCTCTACGTGTCCTTAACTATGGTACTTTGTTGTCGTCTTTGTTGTTGCCATCTGTCAACTGGTTTTTAATCAGTTCTCCTAGAAACACACTGCAGTTTGGGATTTCTCTCTTCACTCTGGTCTTACCTCTCGGGCTTCAATAGATTCTGGGTCAATGCTGTCATCTAGCAGGCTCTCATAGTAATCTACATTGTCCAGGACATTCTCATCATCTGGATGGAACATCAGGTAGGCTTTGGCACACTCCAAGGCTTTCACATATTCACCAACTGGAAACACAAGGTGTTGCCACATTTGAGTCAGCTAGATCTGCCCCCATGGCTTCAGGGGAAGTCGTTTGTGTGTCTACTGACGTCAGCACTGACCATCATAAACGGGAGATAAACTGAGGCTGAGCAGAAAGGTCAGCAGCATTTACACAGAAGGACAGACATGATTTCAGGTACTCAGATGGGATAACCCTTTGTTTGCTTCTGTCTGGGCACTTTGAGGAACTCCTCTAAACTCTATCTGAAAATGTTTATGTGTGATCCCTGTAATAGCAAAGCAAAATTGTATGAATTCACTGTGACTATTTTGTACATTTTGGCCTGAGTAAATATTCTGTGCATGACCTTCTAAAATGATAATATAGCATCCATAAATAAAAAATGAGTGTGGAAGTTTCTTATCGCTGGAAAGCATTGTAAACTGTTGCTTCTATGAGGTAACCTAGAGAGGGTCTCAGAGCTGCAGATGATCTCTTCTAGCCCTTCTCACATAACTGGAGCAAACGTAACAGTATCCAGTTGTTACAATGAGCAATCCAGGATATTTCAAATATGATTTTTTTATTATAGAAATATTTAGCTATTGCAAAAAGAAATGTTTAACTGTTAGGAACAGTATGTTGAAATGCTGTGTGACCCTTCTCAAATAGTTCATAAAGTTATATTTCTTTTAAAAAAGACACTTCCTCTCTCTTCAAAAACACACACATATGTATACACACAAAATATACATATATATGTACACAAACACATACACACATATATATTCTCCATGGGTGTATATATTCTCAGAGTATAAGAGATAGTACTCCGTGTCTTTTCTTGAATATAAAAAGGAAGGTACAGCTATTTCAAATTACTAAATTTTGCCTAGAAGATTGTAGAATATCTAAACACTTGTAATATATTCTGATGATGATCCCTGGAAAATATAGTCCATATGGAGGAAAATTTGGTGATGTGAATCAAAACCACAAAAACACAAATGGATTAACTATTTGGACTCCCAGATATTTATTCTTAGAAATATGTATGTAATGCATATCTACTTGAAAGTTCACTGCAGTTACAAAAGATACCAAAACACAACCATCCCTCAATAAGAAGACGCATGAAGTAAGCTCTAATATAATGGTATTAGAGAGATCAGAAAAACTCACTGTACTCATCTATTAAAGTTGAATAATATATTACTAGAATTTAATTTTGGCCTAAAATATGATAATTTCCTAAGCCTAACCTACTAAAAGTCAACTGGCATGTTTTAAGAAAATAAAGATACATAAAATGCTATAAATAATATACTTTCTTCACATAAAAGAAAAGGAAAATTCTGAATGTATTTGCTTATATGTATATAATTTTGGACATATAAACCACCCAGTTGAAGGCTGTGAAAGTATACCATGGATAAAGAAAGAGGATGATGATTTTAGAACACTGGTTCTTTCAAACATGGGGATCCAATCCTACTAAAAGTGCATTGAAAAAGCAGCTTAGTTTGAAAAAGAAGTCTTGCAAATCTAGTGTAAATTTTAGGACGTTATCACAGTCAGTCCTGTGCTTCATCCACCATTAGTGTCCTGCCTTCCTTGCTTGCTCTGAGCTGCTGCCAAATGGCAAGAAAAAGAAAGTGCACAAACCTACACTGCTTGGGGGATAAAATGAAAGAAAGCTGGGGTCCAGATGGTGAACAGATGCTAACAGTTTGGGGGAACAGTGGCCCAGGCACAAAGGGTTTGGCCGCCAAAAGACCCTTGCTGGCCTAAACCGGAGTAAACCGGCTGTCTGGACATATGGTATGTTAACTTCTCCAAATTGAGCCAACCGAGGTCTGCCAAGGGAGTCCCTGGCAACTGCTGCTATGCCATGAGACAAGATGATGTGAACCATCCCTAGCCACCTTGAGAGACCCAGAGGCAGGGTTGCTGCTGCTTCCCCTCCCCTGGGCGGGTGGAGGTATCCCCTTCCTAAAATAAACTGAGCTTACTACATCCAGCTTGTCTCCTGGAGTCTGCATCATTAACTCAATGCCTACTGGCCCCCTTTCCTAGGGGGAAGCTCCATGGAACAAGGCAGCAAACAGTGATGAGAGGAAAGCCCAAAGGTCTTCATGGATGATCCATACTTTACCTCTGTAGTAGGCAAACTGTAGGTAGTCGTAATGCAAGGGAAGGAAGTTCTCAATTGGTGAGAGGCGGCCTGGGCGTGTGGCAAGTTCCCTTACACACTCATGCTGACAGACCAGCACCTGCATGTAGTGATCTGGGAAGGCAAGAAAGAGAGAGTGTGTCCTCTGGCTGCTGAGACCACACCTGGGCCACACCTAGGCCAGTGCAGCATCTCTACAGGGCATGCTTTATCACACAACAGAGAGAGAACACTGTAGTAACATCTGCTAGTCTGGAAACTTCAGACAGACGGTGGATACTGTTTGACAGAGCATGACAAAATGGCAGAAAGTGTTCTTAGAATAAACACTGTCCTCTTTGCACCCTCTTTGGTGGTTGCTGTTCTCATTTAAACTGATGCAGAGATACAGGGAAGTCAGTGCCCCTTAGCACTACACTCTATTTTATCAAGGCATGCACCAAGAGACACAAGCAGCTGATGTCACAAGGAAGACTCCCTTTCCTCTTTGCCTAACTTTGACTTCTATAGCAAAGATGGTGCAATGTTTTCCAGGGAGAGAATGGTTCATTCACGCTTGGGTTGAGTAGGCTCCCTGGCTGTGGAGAAAATCACTCAACAATTTAATTGACTGCAACAGCTTCTCTCAAGAGGGTCTCTGTTCAGTCAGAGTTCATCTTGGATCTGGGCAATCTTGCAAAATGAGGTCAGTAGGCAGGAAGGAAAGGAGTATTTGGAGGGTGGAGCCCAAACAGAACAGCTAAACAGAATCAAAACCACAGTTCACTGCTTTTTTGCCTCCAGCTGGAGATATGGAGAAAACAATGACATCTACACATACGATCTGAATGTTAGGAATAAAACACTAGTGGTGTTTGACAGCCAGCTGTCACTCTTCCATAGCCCAAGATCTTCTTTACCTTCAAATCTGTGTTTACTCTAATTCAGTGGTCAACCTTCCTAATGCTGGGACCCTTTAGTACAGTTCCTCACAAGGTGGTGACCCCCAGCCATAAAATTATTTTCATTACTACTTCACAGCTGTAATTTTGCTACTGTTATGAGTTGTAATGTAAATATGTGATACGCAGGGTATCTGACATGAGATCCTTGTGAGAAAGGGTAGCTCAACCCCCAAAGGGGTCGCAAGTCACAGATTAAGGACCATTATTCTACTATCAGGTGACAAGAAAAGGAAAAGGTGAAAAATCTATCTACTAACAATTCAAAATTTGAAGGAATATATGTTCAAAGTGTGAATAACAAAGATAGCCTCTGGCTTCACAAACAGAGCTGACCATATTTGTATCGTCCTCCAACATTAAGATTTTTTTTTTAACTGTACAATTCAAATGCTATGGTTTTTCTAATACATTTTCTTTTGTGAATGGCAGCTAAACTCCAAATTGAGGACAATCGTGTAAGACAAGAATTTGCAGGGTAAAAGTCATCAAAGTAATTTTATTTGTTGTATTGTTTTCCTTTCAATGTCATTGTGCAATTAATGTGTTTTTTAATAAGACTGAGATTCACAACTGTGTGGGAATACTCAGGTTTTTTTGCTACAATAAAATGAGCATGTTTCAGAATTCAGATTTCCAGGAAATCTTACTATATTACTGTAATTGTGAGTATTAGGCTGGATTTGCAGAGACTGTGACTTATTTTCAACAGTTTTTTTTCCTTTGCTGGGAGCTGGGATGCTGGCTGCGGTAGTTAAGAATCAAAGAAACGGAATGTGGAGACAGCTGTACTTTCCCAGCAGTCAATGGGTTGCAGTATCTTGACCAGCACTAACTACTAACCCACATCGAGATCAGTTGCTGTAACAGGATCTAGAACATTTGCCAGATCTGTTCCATGGACACTGACAGCACAGGTGCAGACGCAAATATGGCTCTGGAGGAAAGGGCATGCCATTCCACAAAACCACAGCACAGTAAACTACTACATAAGTAGTTCGTATCTATTTATATATTACTCTAACTAACTGTGTGCTGAGGAAAAATTAAGTAATTACATTGTAAAAGAAGCACAAAATTGACTTTGAAATGAATGATGTTTTCAAAAATACAGGGAATAGCAGATGTCCAAGGAAATAAAAGTTCTGGAACTAAATCCTTAAAGTAACGCATACAAATATACTGATTTTAGGTAACTTAAATTTACTTTGAATAATAGAGCACTTCAGAGTCTGATAATTTAATGCAGTGATTTTGAGTGTAACAGACATATTGATTCTAGTTTACATTTTGTAGCCATTCTCTAATTAGCTTATAAAAATCATCCACCTTTATTTATAACCAACATTATCACAAAGCACAAGGCATTACTATCATGTTTATCTATACATAGTTATTGGTGTAAATGCCACATTCTTTATTCTTGCATTCATCAGCACATTCATTTAGCCAATATTTATTAAGTAGATGAGGGATCAGCCAATCCCCAAGGAATAAGACTGAACAAGAGAGGACATTGGTCACATGATACCAGAAAACACCCAGATATGCAAGGAGACAGAGAGGCACATTCAAAGAATACAAAGAACTTGAGAAGGCAGGAATGGAGACTGTAAATACACAAAGGGGAAGTTCTTCAAGGTTATTGGCTTTATTCCAAGTGGGATGAAAGTCATGAGGGGAGAGATTTTATGTACAGTAGCCCTGTTAGGGCAGAATTTGGGCTCTGTCTGAACTGCACACCAAGAACAGGAAGGAAGCCATCATGGGGGCTTGGTTAAATGCAGTTTTGATTTAAGCAAAATTCCCACGGCAAACAGGTTGACTCAATAAGTATTAAGTGGCATGTGAGAGGAGCATTTGTCCAAATGAGATGGACTTAGGAGTTGAGGAAAGGTTAAATGGAAAAGCCACTTTCCTGGATTGGTGTGAAATAAGTACATGCTTTCAAGGAGATACAAAAACTTTAGAATTGGAAAGATAAACTGACTGTAGTGACTTCCACATCACTTTTTCATTATGTATGTCTTGGAACATCACATGTCATCAATAACTATGTGAAAAAGATTTGTTATTGTATAAGTTATTCTTTACTTAGTTTTTGATTATGTTGACTTTAAAATATGGGCTCTCTATTTAAAAAAAAATGCCTGGATCTGATTCTTAGTTTCTTTCTAGCCACCTCATTCAATTGTTTCAGTCTCTTCAGTGAGGTGGCTGAACAGCAGACAGAGATGCATGTCTGTGTGAGACGTCTTCCTGAAAGGTCAGCACCCTTGAGGCCCCTGTGATACCATCAAGAACAATAAAGCCAGCCCTTGGCTGGGGAGACCACAGGCCTAGGTGGAATCTAGGAATCTACTACTAAAGAAGTTACTACATTGTACAAAATGCTTGTTTTCAAACTTCCCCTAAATACTGCTTATATCCATTGGTTATTGCTGCTCCCACCTTCCTTCATAGAAGCTGCTTACTACACTGGGGCGGTGGTTAACAAAGGAGCCCATAAGTGGCTAAAATGCAGATGATGGAGTGTTCATCTGTACTTGACAGAGTTTTATCACCCCTCCAAAGACCAAGAAACATTCTGGAGGATGTGCAGGGTGTCAGAAAGAATATAAGAAACAGTGATGGGGGGATGTGAAGTATGAAAATGTTTTCTGGACACTACATAGCCTATGTACTTATGAACTCAACTGTAGCTGTGTTTACTCGCACAAGACATGTCCAATACTGGGCTCATCAAAATTTCATCAAGGTCAGAGGGAAGATCTATCAGGGTACTGGTGGTCAGTGATTGTTGGTGGAGGAGGTGTCATCTTAATGTAGCCAATAGAAAGCCATCCTTCTCAAGCAAGTAATATCCCCACCCATGTTCCAATAAACTCACTGAACCGCACACACAGAGACAGAGGATGTGAGTGTGATAGAGAGGGGAGGGATAGAGGAAGGGATGGAGGGAGGGAGGAGGAAGGGAGGGATGGAGGAAGAGAAGGAGGGATGAAGAGAGAAGTAGGGGGGGCCTATTCAGAAGAAGGGCTTCAGTGGAAGAAGGAAGGAGGATGCTGAGGTGGGTGGTGGGGTGGAAGGTGAAGGGGAATGATGGCTCCTCTGCAATCCCCATGGCTCTGGGGCCTTCAACTTTCCCTTTCACTGACTGGAGATGTAAGCAAAGAAAGAGCTATGGTTTTGTGGCCTGGTGCCATAAGTCTATAACCTCAGCTACTTGGTGTCTGAGGTGAGGGATTACAGAATCAATGCCTATTGGAGACAGAGTGAGTTCAAAGCCAGTCTGGGCAATTTAGAGAGACTAGAATCCCAAAATAAAAAATAAAAGGAGGGATAGCATTATAGCACAGCAAGACAGTGTTTGTCTAGCATGATACCATGGGTTCAATCCTCAGTATTACACAAAAGAAGCAAAAATAAGAGAATGTGTGTATTTTTATGTTATAATTGCTATATATGCATTGGTAATTACTACTACTAAAAATTGACAGACTAATTACTACTAATAATAATTTATAACTTCCCTTTACTATAAAAGATATTAAATTTTGTCTATAAGTCATTTGAGATATTGTTCATTTACCTTTGTAATCAATTTAATTCTATATGTATTTTATGTAGACTATGGTTTCTACTTTCTCTTGCCTTCTGTTCCACAGAAAACACTCCACCTCTTCTGTACTATACAAAGGCACTCTTACTGATTCTCCTGACAGTAGTATTTTCACACTTATATTATTAATACAAACTATTTATTTTCAAATGCGGTATATACAGAGAACTCACTTCTTCCAATAAAAGGTTATTTGACCCAGTATCAGCACCTCTTGAATATCACACATTTCCTACTATTTTAAACAACATTCTTAAACACAGTCTGTCAATTAATTACACAAAACTGTATCAAAGGATTCATTGCTATATTATTTACAATACTGAAAAACTGTAACCTCAGTATGCACTAGTAAAGAGTACTATTTAAAATGATGATGGTTCTATATCATGAGTGTTATCTAGCCACTACATACAAGAAAATGAAGCCACATGTACTTACATGAGAAGTCCACATTTTGGTGTGAGGCATAAAATAAAATAAAACAAATATGTTGAAAAGAAATACTCATAGTACTTTCCCATTTTATATTGATTAAATATATAAATAAGGAAAGAAAGGAAGGAAGGAAGGCATAATGATTACGAAATACACCAGAAGAAGTTGGGAAGAAAAACTATTTAAACTATAAAAATTAGCAGCCTAGGACAGGGTGGAATAAACACATGAGAATCTTTAACATTTTTGACTGCTTACTACTATGTACTATATCATCAGAATATTTTTACACAATTTCCATAGCATTTTAGAATAAGTAAACAATGAAAAAAGCCAAGCTTTACCTGCAATCGCCTCATAAAGACCGCCTTTATACCCTAAGTACTCATATTCTTCAAATCTCTGTGGTCCCTCACATAGAGCTCGGCATTCCACATCTTCATTGTAATATTCTCTTAAAGCTTGCTCAAAGTACTTGATTGCGGCTTCAAAGTCATCGGCCTCATAGTGTTTAACTCCTGCATTATAGCTCTCCTACAAGGACACAGACACAGTCTTGTTCGTCAAGGGTGGGATGGACACAGACCCAGGATCATTTAGGAAAGCAAGAACAGAACTTTGGGCTACAGAAGTAATGACAGATTTCACTGGTCTATCCATTGTCACTTCCACAGGTTCAAAGAAAGAGAACATATAACATAACTGAAATACTGCAGTGTCAATCAATCTACTGTCTTTCTGCACATAGACACTGGGATAGTCTATAATCTCTGCTGTAGAGAAGGGCATGGAGCATCAATAGGGTAGCAAATATGGTTAGAAGTGTACCATCACTTTCAAGCCTTGGCCCATTAAATCTTCCTTCTAAAACATTTCTCTATCTTTCTTCTCAGCAGCAATTTTGGAGGTCACACATTGAGAATGGTAATGTCAAGGAAAAAAAAAAGCTGGGGCACAAAGGCCTTTCCACATGTGATTTCAAAAAATGTTTTATCATAAGAAGAATACTGTGTGTTTCTCAAACTCCAAATTGAACACTTGAGGTACAAGGGAAAATCCTCCACATTGGAAGACATAAGACAAGTAGTGTAACCATGAACAATTCACGTGAAAAATAAGTATGTTGAATGTCAGGAATGGGCTGGGTGGTGGTGGTTACACATTTAATCCCAGCACTTGGGAAGAAGAGGCAGATGGATCTCTGTGAGTTTGAGGCCAACCTGGTGTACAGAAAGAGTTCCAGGACAACGAGGGCTGTTACAGAAAGAAATCCCATCTCAAAAAGAAAAAGAAAGAGAAAAAGAAAAAAGAAAGAAAGAAAAAGAAAACATCAGGAATCAGGAATGGTAGCTGGCAAAAATAGTCTTACATACTAACAAACATTTATAGAACAGTACACCTTATCATTAAAGAATACAAATAGATATGAAGCAGTGGTAGGAGGGAGAAGTTTGGGGTAAAAGTGGTCAGTATGCATTTTTTTACATAGGGTGAAATTGTCAAATATCAATTATTAATTAAAAAATATGGTCTGAAAAAACGCTAAGTAAAAGCCAAGTCTTTATGGAGGAGACAGATAACTTCATGGAATTTTAGGCTGTTCTGTAATCTGATTTTTCTAAGGGAGTTTTCATTTCTCTCAACTTCAGTTTTAATTATTGAAATTTTAATGTATTTCATCTGAGAATTCTAAACATATGGAAGGTAGTGAACATTGACACTGAACTTGATATATGAATCCAATACACAATTCAGCTTGGAGCTCATTGAATAGGCAGAGTTAGCTTCACATGGCAGGGACCTGGGTCCCCAGAACTCACCAGATGTGGCCTGGCTTCTCTGTCTACCAGCTGGACGGCTCCCACCCCTGCTGTCTCTCTATAGTCCTCTATGTCCTGCTGCATTTCCATGTGCTCAGGGTTGGCCATGAAGAACGTGTGGGCCGCTTCCATGGCTTTTTCCAGCTGGTTAAGCTGTAGAAGAAAAGGGTGCAATCAAGGAAATGTTTTGTAGACTTGGCTTGGAGCACTAAGGAGATCACTGCAAGGTCTCAAAGCAGAGAAGTAGTAAGAACAGGATTCAAGGTAAAATATACACCCACACTCTCTCTCTGTCTCTCTCTCTCTCTTTTTCTCTCTCCCTCCCTCTCTCTTTCTGTCTCTTTCAGACACACACACAGACACACACAAACACATAAACATACATGTACACACACAGACACCTACAGACACACAAACACACATACTTTATGGATATATACATACATGTTTTCTGCTCTATTCTATTCTTTCATGCTGTTAATAAACTGCTCATGTGATTATATGGGGCTTTTTTGGTCCTGATGAGAGAATAAATGGGGTTTATTTCCAGCTTATTCTCTTCCCTTGTTTTTCTACATATCTGTGTTTTAAAGGAAGTGACCTATGCCCTCTTACTTGGTTTCTGGTTATTCAAAACAAATAGTGGCCAGGATTGTTGCCCTTTAGTTTATATTTCAACATTGGGATTGACAACTTCATGTTCATGAAAGTGGAAATGTACCCATGATGTTCTAAATGATGGAACTGGGTAAACTCTCCTCCTCACCATATTAGTTCTTTAGCTTTAGAAAGGAAAGAATAGGAAGTTGAAAGAAATAAATTAGTGTGAGGATGAAAAGAGGCTAAGTTGTAACTTCAATATTCATTAATGAAAAGAGGTGTATTATTTATAATCAATGTGCATAAGTGCTGGTATCCATGTATCCCAGCAGAGGATGATAGATCCCTGGAGCTGGGATTATAGGCAGCCTGGCCTATGTTCTGGAAACTGGACTCAGCTCCTCTGCAAACGCTATACATATTCTTAACCATGGAGCCATCTCTCCAGCACCAAAAGCAACAGATTTTGAGTAATCATTGTGCCAGTATTCCAAAGCCTCTGTGCCAGTGTTTGTAGTGAGATATTTACTTTGTCTCCTTCTGTGGCACTGACCATGCCTATTGGGTGGGGTGGAGCCATGGGCGGAAGTGACCTGTGGAAGGAGGTCTGAGGAAGAACTGGGGAATGCTCTCTTGCTGGCAGGACTCGGACAGGAGAGCATCTGGTGGAACTTGCTGGTATTCATCTGTCTAGGTTGTAAGTTATTTCTCCCTGAATAAACATCTATTCAGCCTATTTGTTTATCCTGATCCTTATTTAACTGCAATAAGTATTCATAGTGAAATGAGGGTTTTTTTTTTAATAAGAGGAATTAAATTTATTCAAAATAAAAACATTTGGGCTTCTGCTCGGGTCATGGAGGATCCCTACATAAAGAGTCACTGCCTTCATACCATAGATGTGAACATTTATATTAGTTGTCTTTTTATAAACCAAAAGACTGTCTGACTTATCATAAGATATGAAGAAATGAAATCACTGTTATTCAATACATAAATATGAAGTTACCCAATGTCATAAAACTATTCAGCTGGGCCTTTCTCTAAGAAAGTATCTATTCAGTGATTAAGAAACACAAAGAAATAGTATATTCACAGGTACCCAGCCATTGCATTGTGGAAATTCACACAGAACTCACTTTCGCCACAGAAAACATATACGGCCCCCATTTTATGATCTGGTGTCCTTACTTTTTCCCATTAGTACCAAAGCCTAGTACCAAAGCCTTTAACTTGTTCACTTCCTTTTCATATACACTGCAGACCTTCTTTCTCTTAGATATTAGTTGAAACTATGCACCCACAAATATTCTGGTTGTCCATATAACCAATTTTAGACCTGTTCTTTTGTTCAATTTTAGTTTTCTCAATATAAAAAACACTATTACATAGAAATATAAAAATTTGGGCATCTACAAGTTGATATTTATATGAGAAGATGAGCAAATTGTCAATTGCATATAAATCCAAATACATCAGTCAAGTTAATGTGTAAAAGTTACTCAAATGTTTGTGCTTTAGTCACACAGGGAGCAGAGTCCACTCATTAAAGACTGTATGAGTGGGCTTTGGATGGATGAACTGCCCTTCGTGTGAATGTTTCAGAAACAATAGCACATAATTTAGGAATTATCTATCAATTCAATAATTGGGCTTATCCCCATTACCAAAGCATAGAATGTATACTGCCCATAAAAGCAGCATTTACATGGATACAGTGTGTACTTATGCTCCACAGAAACTGCCTCTGGGTAATAGCCAAGCTATCGGTAATGAATAAAACAGGTTAGCGTGGACACACTGGACCTGTAGCTTGAGGCATGGCCACTGACAGGACACAGTTTGATATTTATGAGCCTTACTTTCTCGCCCTTGCTGTGAAATAATCCTTCAGTATGCTATGAAGACATGCTGCTCTCATTGTTAATAAAACTCATTGGCCGATAGAGAGGCAGGATTTTGGGGACAGAGAGAATTCTGGGAAGAAGGAGGGCAGAATCTGAGAAATCCTGAGCCAGATGCAGAAGAAGTAACATGGGAAGTTCACAGATGAGGTAAATGAGCCTCAGGGTAGCACATAGATTAATAGAAATGGGTTAATTTAAATTATAAGACCTGGCTGGAGACAAGCTTAAGCTATGGGCTGAGAACTTACAATTGATATTAAGTCTCTGAATGACTGGGGAGTCATAGGGAAACACACCATCCTAACTGAAATGGAAACAGAGAGTATTTGTCCTTTTTTTTTTTTTTTTTTTTTTTTTAAATCTAACTTGTCCCATAAGGCCAAGCTTGAATACTGTCTGAAGAAATACTTTTTCAGACCTATTGTGACAGGGACTTACCACACTTTGCCCTGTGATAGCCAAGTATATTTGTGTGAATGGTTTTCTATGGAAAGAAACCTATAACTTATTCCTTTCTTAGCATTTTCTAGGAAAGGCTCAAATACACAATTGTCAAAAGCTATTATGTGTGAGTGTAGCTCATACACTAAGCAGAGCTAACAGCATGAGAATGTAATGAAGGTATCTCTGAAGTCACTGAGCAAACTCATGTTCCCAGTGAAGATAATCACAGCTGAGCATGAGTATCTTAAAGGGTTTCTCAGCGGTAACCATCAAGCTCCTTTCCTTAAATTGATTGCAGTAGCTGTGTGCTTATTTCTTTTCATTCCTTATAACAGCCCAGCACAGAATGTACATTCCTTGACCTAACACTGAACCATAAAATTCCTTCATAATTTCTTCATGCACTGTTCCTGGCTTTTAAATTACTGTAAACCACTTCATGAAACTAAAATTATCTGCCAGAATCTATAAATTCAACCATCAGAGTAACTGGAGGCTTTGTGTATTTGCGCTTCATTGTAGAGGGGCCCGGTAATAAAAAGCACAGGCGGTCATGTAAATGCTATACACGATGCCATTTATTGGGTGAAGGTTATAACAAGGTCCCATAAGCACCAGGTTTTAGCTAAAGAATGAACTACCCACAAACCCAGGCTGCGTTTAAAGGCCCCGCATGGCATTTCCTTTAAGACATAGTTATAACAAACCATACAGAGGGAACTCTGACGTGAGGCTCACGCTGTGAAGTAGAAAAATAAACTGTGAATCACAGAACAACTGAGGAAAGAGGATGGTTTGACAAGAAGAGCACACCACTGAGCTGTGAGAAGTGTGAGGAACAGTGAGCGCCCTTCTCAAAGTGCTGGCTCACGTCACGTCACTCACATCGTGAAGAACGAGGAAAACTGCCAGCCTAGAAGCTGGACAGCATGGGGCAGCCATGCTGTGTGGAAAAAAAATGAATCTTGAGGAAGTCAGCACTCTGTGAGCATGTGGAAGTCACACTGCCAGACTAGTGTAGGAATGCAGCTCTGATGCAGGTTATCTTCCACGGGCAGCCCTAGAGACACTGCAGAGCATGCAGTAAAGATGAATGCATGCACCTTCAGGAGCCATCTGCCAGTCACAGAGAGACATCAGATGGCACCATGCATTCAACAACTTGTAGATTAGAGTTAGAGGTATTAGTCTTTGTACTTTAATTATGTCTGTCATCAAGCAAATTTGCCCAGATGAGCTGAACTTCCATACACTGTATAATTTACATGCCAATCCAGTAACCCAGTCATATATGAGTTCTTTACTCCATCCACATGTGTATTTGGCAAACATTCACTTTACACACTCTGCTTACAGACCCAGAGAGTTGATGAAAAGGTCCATGTGATCCAAACCATAAAAGGCCTTGCTTTCTAGTGTTTCCAGAGGAGGAGATAAATCTCAAATGATAATGAAAGTCATTTATGCCTTTGCTAGGTGTTTAAAGGTATAGATGACCAATACTGCGAGCATGCATGTTTTGAGGCAGAAGAGGAATGCTAGGAATAAATTTCTCAAGAAAGCTGCAAGACAGCTTCTTAGCTGAGAACTAAAAGGGGATTCAGTCATAAGAATAAGAGAAGAAAGCTCACCTCAGGGAAAGGACAATGATGGGTACACGGGCATGGAAAAGCAAGATGTGCTTGAAAAGCAGGGCAGGGCAGGGAGGAAGGAGGGAGAACTGAGTACAGGATCAGATGGCTGAAAGGTTATGCTAAAGTCTGGAAGCCACACTAAGTGTAACAGGAAGCCAACTCTTAAAGAGATTCAAGAAAGGATGTGATAAGATCTAGTACATGTCTTTAAATGATAATCCGCTGAGGCTGCTATCTGGAGAAGAGATTTTTCTAACAGTCAGAAAGGTATTGCACTCAGTCAAATTCAGAGTTTTTGTGAAATAAACAGCTGAGGTGAGTCACTTTCCCTTCCTTGCCCTTCATTCCATTCTTTTCCTCTTCCTGCACCCATCCTACTAATAACAGTGCTTATCAACTCAGTAACAAGATAGGACAAAGGGAAGCAAAAATGCAAGCATACCATTAGAAGAAGCATAGGTTTGTGTGCATGTATGTGTGTGGGCACATGTGTGGAGTGCGTGGGCACATGTGTAGGGGTTGGAGGTCACCACTGGTGTCCCTCTATTGCTCCTTATCTTTTTTGAGA